GCCTGGTGGTGGATTGTTTGGGGTGATGGGTCTTCTCTTGCAAGGGAAGCTCTGGAAAAGTGCGTTCTCTTACTGTACTGTCTCTCTAAATTTAGCTAATTAGATCACAGGTTCTTTCCCAGAGTCCAGGCAAGAGTTCACTTCTTCCAAAAAGAAAAAAAAAAAATCCTTTTCCCTCTCCTCTTACAATGTGATGTTGTATTTCATTCTGTAGATTATTTAAACAGTTACCAAAATCATTTGAGAATCAACTGGGATACATAGCAACGGGCCCAGAAGTCCCACTCCATTTGGTGCTGCCAGTGACAACCTTTAGCTGTAAGAGGAGGGTTATAAGAGAGACTTGACCGTTCACTTGACCACTCCTCATACATTTGCTTTCCCCAACACACCAAAATAGTGCCTATTTGATGCCCATTTCATTTGATTATTCATTTTATTCATATCTTAAATGCCTATTCAATTTAATGTCAATGGAGGAGTAAAATAGAGTCAGAGAGAAGGGGTTATTCTAAACCTTTATTGAAAGGTGAATATGGAAAGGCTTCAGCACAGAGGATAGATTTAGTGACTGAGTGACCACTGGAGTTTAACTAATAGATCTGCTGACTCTGCTGTATAGTGGGGGAGACAGCCTGCAGTCTCAAGACAATGCAGGTAACTCAATCAGAAATCCATCTTGGACAACTTGCTCAGGTACGAGGCCCCTCAAAATTAACTCATCAAATGACAAGAGGAACTCTGTGGACACTCCCTCTGTAACATGAGTAGGATATCACTCCCCTATACCAGAGGGGCTCCAGGCAGTCAATCATGCACAAAGACGGAGTCGTTACTGACAGCACCTGACATCCTCCTGTCCATGAAGCATGGAAGAGTGGGTGATTAATTGGAAAGAGTTGGCAGCAGAACTTTAAGCACAATTACACCTTCTACATCTCACCACTCCCCATTCCTAGTGACAACTTTCTCAGCTCGGCAAATTCTCATGTACTGTATCTGGAACATATATTCCTAAATTCTTGCCTCCTTTATAAGATGCTGTATCTTGGGCAAAAGGCATATGTATTGTGCTTATATTGCATATCTAATGTGTACAGATATGCATAGTCTCACAAATATGGCATACTTTTAGATTATGCATGTGTATGAACATCCATCTTCATATTGTGAAAAGAAATCAAATTTTTTATTTGCTTGTGTGCATGTGTGAGATGGAGTCACACTCTCTTGCCTAGGCTGGAGTGCAGTGGTGCAATCTCGGCTGACTGCAACCTCTGCCTTTTGGGCTCAAGTGATTCTCCTGCCTCAGCCTGCCAAGTAGCTGAGATTCCAGGCGACCACCACCACGTCCAGCTAATTTCTTTATTTTTAGTAGAGATGGGGTTTTACCTTGTTGGACAGGCTGGTCTTGAACTTCTGACCTCAAGTGATCTGCCCAACTTAGCCTCCCACAGTGATGGGATACAGGCATGAGCCACCGTGCCTGGCCTGAAGTAGAAATGGCAGGGCTCTAATCAGCTCAGATTATTTACAGTAGAAATGTACCCAGAGTCTTGGAGTTAAATGATGACCTGCCACTTTATTTATTTAGAGATGGAGTCTTGCTCTGTTGCCCAGTCACTGCAACCTCCGCCTGCCTGGCTCAAGGGATTCTCCTTCCTCAGCCTCCCGAGTAGATGGGATTACAGGCGCCCACCACCACACTCTGCTAATTTTTGTATTTTTAGTAGAGACAAGGTTTCACCATATTGCCCAGGCTGGTCTCAAACTCCTGACCTCTGGTGATCTACCTGCCTCAGTCTCCCAAAGTGCTAGGATTATAGGCATGAGCCACCACTACCAGCCTAAACTGCCAGTTGACATCAGTTATGTTTTCAGTTTTTTGAGACAGGGTCTCATTCTGTTGCCCAGGCTGGAGTGCAGTGGCACAACTATGGCTCACTGCGGCTTCAACCATCTGGGTTCAAGCAATCCTCCCACCTCAGCCTCCCAGGTAGCCAGGACTACAGGTGCATGCCATCATGCCCAGCTAATTTTTCATACTTTCTGTAGAGATGGGGTTTCGTCATGTTGCCCAGGGTGGTCTCAAATTTCTGAGCTCAAGTGATCCACCGCCCTTGGCTTCTCAAAGTGCTGTGATTACAGGCATGTGCCATCATGCTTGTCCCCAGTTACAACTTTTTTTTTTTTTGAGATGGAGTTTTGCTCTTGTTGCCCTGGCTGGAGTGAAATGGTACAATCTTGGCTCACTACAACCTCCACCTCTCAGGTTCAAGTGATTCTCCTGCCTCAGCCTTCCAAGTAGCTGGGATTGCATGCATGCACCACCACACCTGGTTAACGTTTTGTACTTAGTAGACATGGGATTTCACCATGTTGGTCCGGCTGGTTTCGAACTTCTGATCTCAGGTTGATCTGCCTGCCTTGGCCTCCCAAAGCTCTGGGATGACAGGAATGAGCCACTGTGCTCAGCAGTTATAACTCTTAAAGCAACATGGGGCTCGTGGTAGCCTGATTACAACCAGAATTAATTGAGTAAGTAATCATTATTTTCCACAATACACTCCCACAAAGTTTTAAGTCCTACCATAATGTCTGTAGCAAAAATAATCAACATTTTCAATTTGTTTTCTGGGGTTTATTTTTGTTGTTACTGTTGTTTAGGCAAGGTCTCACTCTGTCACCCAGGCTGGAGGGCAGTGGTGCAATTGAAGCTCACTGCAGCTTCAACTTCCTGGGCTCGAGCGATCCTCCCATCTCAGCCTCCTGATAGCTGAGACTACAGGCATGCAATTAAAAAGAATTTTTTTTGTAGAGACTGGACCTCACTATGTTGCCTAGGCTGGTCTCAAACTCCTGGGCTCAAGAGATCCTCTCGCTGCAGCCTCATAAAGTGTTGGGATTATAGGCATGAGCCACTGCCCCTGGCCTTGATTCTTTTTAAGCTCAGTAAAATGGACCTTTGTCTTGCTGTCATGGCCAAAGTTAAAACACAGTCAGATAACAAAGATCTCATAAAGCTCACAAAACTAATACTTAAAAATAATTTATTGGCCAGGCACAGCGGCTCACACCTGTAATCCCTGCATTTTGGGATGCCGAGGCAGGTGCATCAGGAGGTCAGGAATTCAAGACCAGCCTGGCCAACATGGTGAAATCCCGTCTCTACTAAAAATACAAAAATTAGCCAGGCACGGTGGTGCACGCCTGTAGTCCCAGCTACTTGGGAGGCTGAGGCAGGAGAATCGCTTCAACCCAGGAGGTGGAGGTTGCGCTGAGCCAAGACTGTGCCATTGCACTCCAGCCTGAGCGAGTAAGACTCCCTCTCAGCAACAACAAAAGGCCCTCACAGCACCCATCCATGGAATTCTTCTAAATTCCCTATGGCTTGTGCTGTCACTTAGTCGTTATTCTAGTACCTGGCAAGAGGATATAGGGGAACTCATGTTTAAGGAGTTAATGGAGACCTCCTCTTGTAAATACTGGCCCGGCTCTTTAAGGTTGAAAGCTTGGTCATTATTCTGTATACTCCGTCACTGATAAAAGTTATCACATAACCTGGGTGTCTGCAAGTGAACTATAAAAAACACCTTAGAAATACACAGGGATTGCACTGTGACCTGTAGGTCAAAGCAAACTCTAGGTGAGAGGGTGGAGAAACAAATATGCTGGTTGTTTCCACCTAGATTCTGATCCTGTGAATTTAAAATTCCTTCTCATGCCATCGTTTTGTCAGGGAATTGATGACAATGAACAAAATCCAAAGAGCTCAGATCACTGCCTTTTCAGTTTAGTGCTTACACTGTGTAGGATACACTAGCTAAGGTATCTTGGTAAGGGTGACCAAGCAAAGGCAAGACAACTTCAGGTGGGGAGGTGGAAGTAGAGACTCACTGGAAGTAAGAGTAACTGCATCATTTAACAACGAATTCAGGAAAATGCTAAGGATGAAGGAGGGTACTCGATAACCATGCTGAAACAACAGGTGCAAACCAGGCCCACGCCAGCAAACTAACAGGTGGATGACTCTACTTTGAATATTCAATCATATCAGGAGCCAACTTTCTTAAGGAAACCATGAGTATCTAGGATTACTTGACTAGTGTAAAATACACACCCACACCAGAAGAACTCGTGTCATCTCTAAAAACTATCATAGATGCCTCGAACTGATAGAGCATACTGCCTTTTAAAAACAATCACTATTGCCCACATTACTCTTATTAGTAGTATTAGTGATATTAATATTGCATGCCAATGTCTCGAATAACTGCTTTTTGCTAGGTATGTGCACAGCATCATGGGAACTGGAGGGAGCTTTTACCCAACCTCATGAGAAATTAAGGTTAGAATTGGCAAGAATAAGGTGGAAGAACTTCCAAGTACACAGTCCAAGATAGAGCAAGGGACAAAGGCCCAGGTGACAACCCAGAGCTTTTGAATCACAAGCAGTGCCCTGCTCTTCCACAAGTAAAGAAACACCCAAGGAGAAGCCCATACCGAGGGCATGGCCAGCCTTGTAAGGCTCCTCAGCCAGGGTAGGAGGATAGTTAATATTTGTTATTTAAATGAATCACTGACAGCAGGCAGAAAGTAGGAATTGTGAAGCCAGTTAATCATACATTAAGTACTTTAGGCTGTTGTTTTAGGCCAGGAATGGTCAAAACAATGTTATGGTAAGCCAAAACCAAACTCAGGAGAACACAGCAAGGCAGAGTGGGGGTTGTACCCTACAAAAAACTCTACCTAGGAAATGCCAAGATGTGTAATATTAAGTTTAGGTGAAAAACTTAATCCCAGAAATCCCACAAATACCCAAGTTAGAGAGGTCCAGGAAAGGGCTGGTCAGCAACATCACTCAACGTTTAAAAACTCAACTTGAGCTTATTTTGGCTCTTAAAAAAAACAAACTTGGAAAACGCTCCCCTTTCTGACAGGAAATAATGGAATATAATGGCACATAGGGATTCAAAAGAACCACAAACACGTCACAGAGATCTTAGGTTAGGCTGATTTATAAGTGCTGCTCTGGGCAGTTACAGAGTTTGTTTACAATGAGGAGTTACTTGACTTTGAACATACTGTACATGGCAATTAGAAGTCGTCATGGCAAGAGAAAGTCACAGCTGGCCTGCCTCAGCCAACACAAGAACCAGAAAATGGTAGGGGAAGTAAAGGAATAAAGGTGGAGTTTGTTTCTTATTACAAAAGAAAAAAATAATTTCTCAGCAGTCTTAACAAAGAGATGGAAGATTTCACACTGGGAGGAAGACACCAGGATACAAAATTACAAGCGTTTTGGCTCCAGCGCCGTCCCCGTCTCCACCAAGAGCAGAGGCAGGGGACAGCTGAAGCAACAAGCAATTCTGTAAAAATTACCTAGAAACCCTACAAATTTGATTAAACTCTAAACTTCTGTAATTTTGCTTTTTAAAAAATTTAATATCAAAAGGCCTGCTTTAGTGACATGCTATTTCTACCAGAAAATAACCCCAATACCCCCTCTGTCAGTAACATGCTCAAGTTGACCAGCCAACTCTTATCTCTAACCCACGTGGACAAGTGTCTTTTAAACCAGTCACGGACAGCAAGTAGACTGCTAGTAACATTTGTCATGTTAACCAGTGTCCACCTTCTCCAGAGGGTGGGCAGGACAGAAACCCTAAAGTGGTCTTGAGGGCCTAACCCGCAGATCACCATCTTTCTAAGAACCACTTCCCTCACTCCCTACTCAAAAGGAGATATTTAATTTCTAATCCAGACTCTCTGCTTCAAGTGTGGTACCCCTGTGACCTGGTTTTTTCATTTAGCAAAACACACATTGTCCACAAAACCATATATATAATTTTTTGTCTTTACATTTAAATATAAAAATACTATTCTGCTTTGTGTAATAAATCAAGGACCAAGCAATAAGAACCTTTTCTTCTTTCAAGGTAGGGATATCCATCAGCTTACTGAGCTTTGTGTTCAGAGCAGGGCATTTAGTCCCAAGCCAGGCTAGTCCCACAAACAAGAGACCAAGGCCATTCGCCCTGATTCCAACCCCTACCTTCTCTCCTAATTCCCACTTTCAACAGAAAAGTTGGTTATAATCTTAAGAAAAGTTTCCACCATGAGGGCAAGTCCCAACCTAACTCGAGTAACCCAGGTCTTCCCGTTTCAGCTACCTTGAAGTCTCCCTCTTGCAAACCTGCTCTGTCTGGACAGCTATGCCTATTGGACAGGTGCACCCCATTAAATGGAAGCAGTGGTTATGTTTCCCCTCTTTCCTCCCCACTAATGCACTAAAAAGCTTCAGTGATAGGGAAAAAAAGGAGGGTGGGTGTGAAGAAATTATTAACTTGACCCCTCTATCCCAGCCGAACAAAGAAAGCAAGATTAAATGGGCACAAGGAAAAAAAAGACCTTGATATTCCACCCTTCAAGTTACAATTGGGACAACTAGGGGGGAAGAGTTGGAGTGGGATGAAGAACTAGGAGGGGCTCGACAGCTGGAGGTCTAGTCCACTTAGTTTTTGTACTGGAAGGGCTCATCGCCGGTTTCATTGAGAAGACACGTGCGGATGAGGGCTTCCGTCACCGAAAAGGGGTCGCAGTTGGCAGAGGGGCGACGGTCTTCAAAGTAACCCTTCTTCTCCTGGCCGACAGTCCGGGGAATGCGTATGCTGGCGCTACGATTGGCTACACCAGCAGAGAAGTCGTTGATGTTGGAGGTTTCGTGGAATCCAGTTAGGCGTCGGGCATTGTCCAGGCCTCCCTTGGGATCATAGGCACGGATGTGGTACTGGTGCCGCTTGCTTAGTTTCTCGATGGCCTCCTCAATGTACCTAGAGGAAACAGAAAAGAGGGAAGTCCAACCTTGTCTCCAGGAAACAGGCCCTTCAGGGCAGGAGCAGGTATGGAGCCAAGAGTGAAATGCACCAAAATGTATGAAACCAGTGTAACAAATACTTCATGAGGGCTGTGGCTTCGTCGTCTTACCTGTGTGTCTCAGTGCTGAGAATTGAGCCCAACAAGCAGTAGAAAGTTACTATTTGTTGAAAAGACTAATCATTTAAACTTTCTCCCGCTCATAAGCTTATCCATATGCCTGTCTTGTTACTAATTTAGTTCTTAAAGATTTTCAAGTACATGAATTTGTCAACTTTTCCCTGTCACCATGCTTAATTCTTTTTATGTCACATATATCATATATATTACTACATATTTATATCAATACTTATGTAATGATATGTGACATACATATCATTATACACATTATAACAAATAATTGTTAATTATTTATCACTGTGAATCAGAAGTATTATTTGGTATTTTTCAAATAGGAACAAAATGAGAGGATTTGAAGGTAAGCGTCAACAGCTAAGGTATGTCCAGACTGGGAAAGTCAAGCTTACTCATCCCTGGCAAAAATTTGCAAGTCATCCTGCAAAGGAGACTTTGCTGAGAGATTGGTTAAGCCCCTTCTCAAGTTTTCTGCCACAGGAGACTAAAGATGGCCCCAGCAGAAGGTACTCACTTCAGACCATTCTCCTCCCGCATGGCCTTGGTGCTAAAGTTGGTATGGCAGCCCGCACCATTCCAGTTCCCAGGAATGGGCTTAGGATCAAAGGTTGCTATCACTCCAAAGTCTTCACATACACGATGCAAGATGAAACGGGCTACCCAGAGATGATCTCCCATGCTGATTCCTTCGCAGGGTCCAATTTGAAATTCCCACTAGAAGCAAGAAGTTTGACCATTAAAACAAAGCCAACTGCTCACTCCAACTCAGAAGCTCCTAAACCTGTTCTCACCTCTACTCCAACCCCACTCTTAGGTTTTGGGTTAGGGAGTGGTGTTATCAGTAGCCCTTACTAGCTAAAGTCCTGTGTGCACCTACCTACCCTTCTTCAATGATGGATTAGAGCTCTATTTACCTGGGCAGGCATGACCTCGGCATTAGTCCCCGCAATCTTGACTCCAGCATACAAGCAGGCACGGTAATGGGCCTCCACAATGTCCCTGCCGTAGGCTCTGTCTGCTCCCACACCGCAGTAATATGGACCTACCGAAAAAGCATCAAAACAAAACGCTAAGAGTCAGGAAATTCAGAGAATCCCAAAGTCAGAGATAAGAAGGCTCTTCAGACTTGCCCTCCTGAATCACTATCCTTGTCTTCATCTACCGCTGGGGGCAGAGGGCAGAGTGCAGGGGAGGGGCAGTAGGGGAGGTCCTCTTCACCACAGCTTCAGTGGAGCCAACGGGTCCCTCTGAAACCTTGCTTTATACATTTATATCCACTTTTGGATTTTGGTGATGTGAGGGCTGTTACACCTTTACTATATTATTTTGCTGCTTGTTTCAGAAAGTCATTCCGATCCCTGGGAAGGGGCCTTCCTGGACAGTTAGACACTTCTGGGAATTTCACCTCTAACCCAAGAAGACTTACCCTGGGGTCCCGGGAAGCCATTGGAAGGCCAACCAAAGGGGTGCCCATCTGTCCCCATGAGAGTATATTCCTGCTCCATGCCAAACCAGGGGTGCTGATTGCTCACCATGTCCATTATCCGTTTACAGGTGTGCCTCAAATTGGTCTCTAGAAAAAGAGTCAATAATATGTCATCAGGGATCTAAAGACATAGGTGCTAAATCCCAATGCTGATGGGAAAACAGTCCTTGGATTCTATACAACTGAGGTGTGCATTACAGGCTGAACTGACCAAGTGTAAGCCCTTGAGATCCCTGAGTCACTGAGTCAGAAAAATGAGAGAAGGTGTTAACGCACATCTGTAGGAAGACTCTGGAAGACTTCAGTTTTAACTAAACTCAATTACAAGCAAGGCACATGGGAGTGGAATTAGAACAGGGCAACTTTCACCTTATCTGCATCTGGCCACCTCCCAAGCACTAAATGCCAGAGGCACTTAACCCTTTAATCACAAGACAGCTGCTTCTGGTTATCAGACGGATTCTTCATTTCTCAGGCACTTGGAGCCATTCTGTAATTTTTGAGAATCATTTGTCCATTGGTTTACAGGTGTCCTGGCCTACATTCCAGGCAGGAGGGCTGTCACTGGGGACTGCACTGGGAAATAGATCTGGATGAATCCAACGCTATTTTACGTAACAGAGGAGACCACAGAAAGATGGGGCATATTATCTCTTCCTCAAAGCGGACATTGAGGAAGAGATGAACACCCAATCACTCAGCTTCTTAAAATAGTCCTGAAATAGCCTAGCCTTCCCAATACTGATTCCAGAATGTCTTCTCCCTCCCCTTCACAGCATTCACAGATTGGGGTGGGGGGGGGTGCATCCACAGCTGCGCTATACATACCTGCAGGCTTTCGATTGTACTTGAAAACTTCACACAGCACCAACTTGTTAGGGTCCTTACGGAAAGGGTCCCGAAACATGGCCGCAGGCACGAGATACATGTCACTGTTGGAGCCTTCAGACTGTAAAGTACTAGAGCCATCGAAATTCCACTCAGGCAACTCTGGGGTAAAAAGAGGGAAAATTAAATTTAAAATGTACAGCTTTTCAAGAAATGTAAATACAGCCAGCCCTTCACTCGCTTTCCCATCTCTAAAGATCTCTTTTCCAGGAAGTCACTAAGGCCTAAATACCATCATTAACATGTATACCCTGGCACCTGTACCTGATCCTACAGCCCTTCCTATCTAAGTTCCAAGTAAAACCATTGCATCACTTCCTTAGGAAAAATCCCTCCGACATTCCCTTCCTAAATGTCTTCCAGGAGACAAACTGAAGCATTCTGCCATCACTACCATTGTATCAGTCACTTAAAATACTGAGATAGTGAAGGATTCTGATTCTTCCATTAGGCAACGTATCACTTCCTCCTCCTAATTCTCCTACTGTGTTCTAGCAAGTTATGTCCTTGTTTTTATGTGAGGCAACAGACAACTAGCAGGATGACTTACTCAAGGATGCTCCTTATCACCTGTCCACCTTTCCCACTCTCTTTTAAAGGCTGTTTTGTCTCTCTAGCTGACCGAGTTCTCAGAAGGAGAGACCAGACTCTCACTTTTTATCTTCAGTATCTGTGCAGTATCTGCCACATAGCAAGTACACAAAATAGGCTTTATATTATGAGCATTCACTCATTCAAAAAGGAAAAGCAAGCTATCCTCAACTAGGTTAAGAGGTGATACTTTCCTTTGGCCCCTCTTCAGAAGAGGGAGGACTATGGCTTGTCCTAGACTAAAAAAATTAAGGTCACAATAATCTAACTGTAGCTCCTACAGTTGCCAGCTCCTATAGTTGGCAATTAGACAGTTTAAGAATATCCAAAAGGAGCATCAACTAAAAATTAGTCCTATTTAAAAACCATTTTAGATCACTTGCTTCACATCTAGAAACCCAGTGATAAGAGCATTAAGCACAGTTTTCTAAGAGTTTATAAACTAGATGGCATTCTCAGGTTAGAGCAGTGGTTTTCCGAGGGTGCCTTAGAGCCAGGTAAGTGGGGATGCCCAGGGTGGCAGTCTCTAAGTCTCCCCGGCCAACTCTCCACAAACCAGACTTAGCTTTTCTTCAGTACACTGGCCTACATGCACAATTCCATTTAAATAAAGGGTTCCATTGTTGCCCAGCTTTGAGGCAGTGTAGGAGCTTAATGCTGACTGAAGAAAGCCTGAAAAGCTCTGCCTTACAAAAGCTTTACAAACAGAATAAAGAAGCCTAATCCAGAGGCTGGGTCGAAGGCTGACGCCCACCCCTCCGCAGATCCCACCCAACGTGTGCTCCACTCTGCAGTGCTGTCTCACCTTCCACACACTTGGGCTCACTGTCCAGGGTCCGAGTCTTGCAGCGCAGTCCTTCTCCAGTACCATCGATCCAGATATACATGGCCTGGACTTTCTCGCCCTGAGGCAGGGACATGTACACCTGCTTGATGCCTTTGTTTAGGTGGGAACTTGCTGAGGTGGTCATGGTGGAAGGTGTTCTGGAGAGAAAAAAAAAATTGTTAACTCCCACTCCAAACTGATCCCTTATAAAAATGGCTCAAGAGGGATGACTGAATCAAAAGTCAGAGCGTAAGTGCCAACTCCTTGCCCTGTGGAAGTCAACATGCAGAGGGTTATGTTTACTCACTCTTTCAGGGGGATTAGTTTTATAGCAGGCAACAATCTCCCTTATAATAGGCTGTAAAACTCATGACCACCTTCTGAAGCAATTATAACAGACGCCTTTTAAAGAAAAGATCAGGCCCTTGGTAGTAACTCTTCTTTTTTTTTTTTTTTTGAGATGGAGTTTCACTCTTGTTACCCAGGCTGCAGTGCAATGGCGCAATCTCGGCTCACCGCAACCTCCGCCTCCTGGGTTCAGGCAATTCTCCTGCCTCAGCCTCCTGAGTAGCTGGGATTACAGGCACGCGCCACCGTGCCCAGCTAATTTTTTTTTTTTTTTGTAATTTTAGTAGAGACGGGGTTTCACCATGTTGACCAGAATGGTCTCGATCTCTTGACCTCGTGATCCACCCACCTCAGCCTCCCAGAGTGCTGGGATTACAGGTCTGAGCCACCGCACCCGGCCAGTAGTAACTCTTAATGCCTCTGCACCCCTGAGCTCAGAGGCCTGAGTGCCACATAAGCTACTGCAGATCGAAGGCTTCCATGCCAGAACCTGCACTTGTGAGGACTAAGGTGTATTCCTTCAGTGTAGCTGAGGTAACACCATAAACTATCCAAATACTAAGTATCAGGGGAAACAAAAACCAATACAAAAAGTTTACAAAACATAGAACTTCTTCCCATACAAGCAAAATCCAGCCACAGAAAAGGCTTCTCTTTCACGATTTGTTTGCATTTTCTCTTTGCCTTTCATCCTAGCTGTGGTCTTAACTGAGACCCAGCACTCCTCACCAATAAAAGAAAACCCACTACACGTTTAAATTTGAAGATGAAACAAGGTTACAATATATTTTTTTAAAAGGCTAGCAGTTTCCTACAATATAAGCTGACTCAAGCCAGATTCTAAGAAGCATGCTGCCATAATTTCCACAGGTCTCACAAAGTCTCACTTAAGAAAATAGGCGAGAATCACAATGCTACATGGAATTCCACTAGAAAACTTCAAGTAGTCAGAAAATTCCCACTTCTAAATTCAAAAGATCTGGAATGTCAAAAGCCAGGAGGCATGCTTAAAACTGCCAGCCACTACCACAAAACCTCTGAAGCCACAGCAGCCTCAACACAGGAGGAAACGTTCTCTCCCTCCCGCCTCCCTCTGTGGCCAGGGTGGCTAGAAAGGGAACACATTGTTTTCCTCCAACGACTAAGGCAACATTCTGAAGTACAGTGGCAAAGTTTCTATGGGCAACCGTCCATGTTTGCCCAGCTGAAAACCTAACTGCTTCTTCCCTCCGACAGCCTCCCCACCCTTCCCCTTGGGGGAGACCAACACCCCAATACTGCCTCTAGATGACTCAGCCGGCCAAATCCCACTTCCCATCTCCATCCCTGATCCCTTCAGCTCCCGCTAAAAGCTACTACCGACTGAGGCAGGAGGATCACCTGAGGTCTGGAGTTCGAGACCAGCCTAGCCAACATTATGAAACCACGTCTCTACTATAAATACAAAAATTAGCCAGGCGTGGTGGCGCACACCTTTAATCCCAGCTACTCGGGAGGCTGAGGCAGGAGAATTTCCTGAACCCAGGAGGTGGACGTAGCAACAAGCCGAGATTGCACCACTGCACTCCAGCCTGGGTGACAGAGTGAGAATCTGCCAAAAAAAAAAAAAAAGCTACAACCCAATTTCTTGCAATTTCTCCTCTCTAACCTGTTACCTCCACCAATATCGTGCACACTTTGTCCTAAGCCTCAGTTTTGGATCTCGCTTTTTTCCGGGAGCTGGGTTGGATAAAACTTGCCGCGGTGCCAACTTTATATGGGGGTAATGGAATTCCGAAGTTTTTAGCCGTTTCTGCAGCTGCCATCAGCTCTGGGGTCGTCCTCCCTGCCCCCTCACTCACCCCAGCCTCAGAAAGTCAAGCATATCGTTGGGTTTGCCCTCTTTAGCTCTCCTTTTTCTGGAGAGGGATTTGAGCCTCTCCTCTTTCTCAGACTCTAGCTGGTCCAAGCACCGGATCTTTCTGGGCGAGGGCGATGGAGAAGGGGACCGAGAGCTGCCGGCCCCGGAGGTGCCGGAATGGGCAGGTTGGGTTAAGGTCTTAATCTTGACTCGAGATTTCTCCCCGGTGTTCACGGAGTAGGCGATGAAGCCGAAGCAGTTAGAGGGCGACCCGGAAGAGTCTGACTCCTCGTCTTCATCATCTTCATCCGTTGCTTTCTTCGTGGACTTGCGGCTGGGGGAGGATCCCCACTTCCCGCCCCCAAGGGAGTTGGAATAATCCACTTTGAGAGCAGGCCCTTCCCACTGAAATGTCCCTAAAGTGGGCGCCCCGCCCCTTAGGCCCCAGTCCGGATCTCAGGGCCGCACGGAGGGGACCATACCACACCGCGGAGGAGTAGGGGGTCCGGGGGAGGGTGGGGCGCAGGCTGGAGGGAACGCGCGCGCGCGCGGCTGCTGTCTCCGCCGGGTCCGAAGTCTCTACCGACGGCGCGGAGGCCCGGGCTCTCCATTGTTCGGTCACACTGGAAGACCCCCGAGACCCCGAGGCGGGAGCCGGCCGCGCAAACAACGCTCACCGTTACACGCCGCAATCGAGGCGTCTCAACTATCGCCGGAACCACGACAATTGCTCCGAAAGCGCCACCACGATTAAGGCGGCGAGGCGCCCGTGCCCACCGAGCGCCCTGTTCTCTCCGCAGGGGAGAGCACCGCCGCGAGCCCAGGGCGCGGGCCGGCCCAACGGCCTCCAGGGGCGGCGCTTCGGCCTCAAGTAGTGAGAAGAAGATCAAAACAAGTCACCCCGCCCTTCCCAGAGCCGCGCCAAGGGCGCGCCCCACCAGCGCCAGCTCCGACGGGCCCCGGCCACCGGCGGCGGAAGCACGCGGGAGGAGCGCTCGCGCCGGACCCCAGGCCCGGGCAGCAGAGGCCGCGGCGCAGAGCTGGGACTGGACGGGCAGGCGGCCGGACCGAGCCGAAAAGAGAGGCTGGGCGGCGCGCCTCGCGGGGCGGCAGGGACGGCGCGTGTCGTGCGGGTGCCCCCGGCCGTCCAGGGGCTTACCTGGGTGCCGAGCAGGCGGGCGGGGAAAGGCAGGCAGGCCGCGAGAGCGAGGTGAGGAGAGGAGAGGAGGCCGCTGCGCTGCTCACACGCTCCGCTCTTCTCCCACTCTCGACTCCGCTGTGCCACCCGCGGCCCCGCACCCTTTATCCGCGGCCCGGGGCCGCCCCGGTGCCCTGATTGGCTCCCAGCGGCCGAGAGCCCGGACGGATCAGCTGATGCGTTCCGGGGCCCGGCGGCCATTGGGCGAGGAGCCCGGCGGGCGCCGCTGGGGTGGGGGCCGGCGAGCAGGGAAAGAAAGAAAGAGAAAGGGACGTGGGGGAGGGGAACGGAACCGGGCAGGCGGAGGGCGGGGGGCGGAGGTGTGAGCTGCTGCCGGGCAGAGAAGCCGTCTCCCGCTGCCCGCTGGCCCGCCGGGTGCCGGTCCTACGGCCCCCACCCCGGGGTCCCGAGGCTCCCTGGGCCTCCGCCCTGCCGCCTTCACGGGGAGTAGTTTTATGAGGAGAGCTCCCTGTAGACATGCGGAACAAGGGAAACCGAATTTTGCCTTTTGTTGCGAGGGAGCTTCCGAGCCCCGCTTCCCGCGGGCAGGGGTTAGTTTGAGAGGGAGCGCGGGACCCGGGGGAGCCCTGGGCCGGCCTGAGCGAGCGCGGCTGCCGCTCCGCCCTGGGGACAGACTCGGGTTCCCAAGGCCTGGAAGAGCCGCCGGCCCTGGCCCTCTTGGGTCTAGAAAAATGAACAGAACTCTGCAATTTCACATTGGAAATCAACGTGCTGTGTTTCTCTAATTTCACAGAGAGGATTCTGGAGGTGGGTAGAAACTAAGTCTGGAGACCTGTCCCATTACCGCTGGCCAGACCTAGGCAGGTCTCTCCGGGGGCCCAGGTTTCCTCATCTACAAAATAAAGCGGTCTTCTAAAATGAACTTTGAGCCCCCGCTAGATTTGAAATTCTGTGTGCAAACTGCCCCTGAGCAGCTGAAAGGAAATCGAGATCTTCACTTGCCCCCTTCGAAGTCCAGGGATTGTCAAAAATTTAGAAATTCCTTTAAACGTATGCTCCCTAGTTTCGCTTTTTCAAGTGTAGCTTCTTGTTAATCTGGGAAATGGGAATACGTACCACTCCTCCTCTCAACCTCGTGATGGTGGGGAAAATGTGTATGTGAACGCAGCCTTGAAATGGATGTTTGTCAACAGACGCACAATACGTGTGTACGTAGACACAACATAGGTAGGTAGGTAGGTAGATACTGCTATTACTCCATCATTCTATTTTTAGTGCCGGAAATCAACCTGATGGTGTCCAGCCTTTATTGCTTCTTTCCGTTTAAAGACCAGTAATTCATGTTTCCAGTGCCTTTGGAAGAGGAAAGGAAGAAGTCTGTTCTTTTGGTTATGTTTTCTACCACAAATATGGAAAAGAAATGTTGCCTGCCACCACACACACATAACTTGGCTTCTTGGGTCAACATCCCTTTCCTTTAAGGCTGTACAACACTGTCGTGCTTTTAAATGACAGATGCAGCATTCGTCTCAAACGGGTTTTTGGTATGTTTCAGACTGGTGACATTTTGGACTGCGTCAGGTGCCTTACAAAGTCCTTGTTAAAGTTCTGTGCTGCACCCTGAAGTATTACATCGTGGTAACTAAAGGCACAGCTTCAGGCCAGGCAAATCTAGGTTCAAATCTGGGCTTTCCCTTCATGCCAGCTTTGTGTTGGCCAAATCACTTAGCCACATGAATCCTGTTACTTTGTCTATAATAAAATAGGGATAATAATCGTTACCTGATAAAAGGTTTAATCGTGATAGCACATGAGAAGAGATTGGGTAGTACCTGGTGCTTCGTAAATGTTTAGAAAACATCCATTATAATTATCACAGGCCAAGATAATCTTGGCCTGAGGTGGTTGGATTCTTTCTTTCCCCATAGCGACTTTTGAATACAACTTTCTGACTCAGTGTAATGCTTTACCATTCGTTCTATCAAACTGGACTTAAAACTTGATAACAGAGTGAGCTGTCTTCATTTCTTTCTGTAAAGTCGTGGGTTTAAATGGTTGAGGAAGGGGAGCAAAGGAGGAGAAAACTGATGTTTTTATTTTAAAAGATGGTATTAGTAATCTCCAGATACCAAACTACCAAACCATAAGCCTCTGCTGCACGCACCGCCAGCACCCGAGATGGGGATGGCAGACAGAGGACAGAATGGCAAGGCACCAGTGCAGTTCTGCAGGCTGTAGTATTTCTGCCATCTGAGTGCCTGCTTCCCTTGCTCGATGTCTTGACCTCATCAAGCAGTTTATTCATTGTCATATCCCCCAGTAGTGTCCAGGGCGAGTGTTCAATAAATGATATTTGTTAACCACACAGAAGTGACAGCGGCACCATCAAGAGAACATGTGCTTTGAGCTGCTTTTCCGAGAATGGAAATGGATTTGCTTTGATCCGTTCATGTGACCAGGGGCGTGCTTTGTGAGGGTTAGGAACATAATACACGACCACTGACTCTTTCAGGGGTGAACAACAGGCCTTGTCCTCCTTGGTCAGCCCCACATTTACTTAAACTGACGAAATGTGGGCCCAGATGAGTTCAAGAACTGACCAGGGAGGCTTAGGCATATGCGAGAAGAAAAAGCAGAAGAAAACCCTTTAACTGGTTTACCCGCAGAAACCCAGACTGTACTTTTAGAGAAGTTAAAAGTAAAATGGGCTGTTTTATCCAGTTTGACTCTGCTGTGTCTGCTGCCCTTTCTTCTCTTTCCCCTTCTTCCTTAAATTGCCACCCACCCCCATTCTTCACCTCCTCCATAAAAAGAGCATTAGAATGCTTGAACCCATGAACTGTTCTGTTTCTCGGTACACACCGTATGGAAGCTGACAAGGGGTTCCATTGCATGTGCTTTGAAGTGCTGTTTTTCTCTCTTAGAGTAGAATTGCCATGTCCAATGGGTGGGTGGAGTGGGAGAGCAATATTACAGGGAAAGATTTTGTTCAAAATCTGCAGAAATAGCCCAAGATTAAAAGTATTCCTTCAATGTTGTTCCGTTGCCTGAAACAAAGGCTTTGTGTTAGGGTTTTGCTCTATCCAAAATTTTAACTCTGTTGGAAACTACTAGGAAAGTTGGACTTTACCTGTGAGTTCTTTCTCCTCACAGCTTCTTTCTCTGTCTTTTTTTTTTTTTTTTTTTTTTTTTGAGATGGAGTCTCGCTCTGTTGCACAGGCTGGAGTGCAGTAGCTCAGTCTCAGCTCACTGCAACCTCCGCCTCTTGGGTTCAAGCAATTTTCCTGCCTCAACCTCCTGAATAGCTGGGATCACAGGCATGCGCCACCACGCCCATCTGATTTTTTTCTATTTTTAGTAGAGATGGGGTTTCACCATATTGGCCAGGCTGGCCTCAAGCTCCTGACCTTGTGATCTACCCACCTCAGCCTCCCAAAGTGTTGGGATTGCAGGCATCAGCCACTGCACCTGGCCCTTTCTCTGTCTTTTAAAGGGTCCATTCTCACTTTGCAAGTGTGAAGCGATCTGGAATGCCTTCTCAGGGCCTATGTGATTCCCTTATACTCATTAGACACAAAATTTAGGGTAGGGCTCACATTGACCCAAACCCTTCCTGTTTAGGAAATGGAGTTTTCCCTGTGTATGAATGATTTCAGCAGGCATTCAATGCGACCTTTAAATCATGTTAAAGAGGCACAATTGAGACTCAGGGTTGGGGAACACCCTGGAAACCCAACCCAGAATTGTAAAATATTCTTTTAAAAATTATTATTATGTAATAAACCAACACCAGTTCTTTCCAAAAGAATGGACCATAGTAGAATCTTAAACCAAATCAAAATAATTATAATAAAAACGAAGAAGAAAAGAAACAGCTCTGGAAGTTGATAGCATTATTCTTAAACCGTAGTTTAGGGAGAAGCTGCAGTTGGCCAAACTTTCACATTTCACTTGATATAATCAGAGGAGACTACATTGTACTTCAGTTCAATAACTAGCACTCAGAATGGAGGAATTGTTCTTTATCGTCTTTGATCGTTTGATATTTTTTGGTTCAAGACAAGAAATTGGAAGTTCTCAGCCATATCTCTAGCCTGATTTGAGTTTTGTTGTATGCCTGCTGAGCTCAATCAAGGAGCACTTCAGTTCCCAAACTGCATGTGAGGCCGGAGGGTTTGGGTCTGTTTGAGCTCTACCCTGAATCATGTCTTTAACAGAAACTACTTGGAAAGTTGGGAAGAATCAAGTTCATCTTAGTTAACAAGATGGGGAGATCTGTCCTATTGAGAAAATTAAAGCCATACCATTCTAGAATGAGATCTTCACATCATTCTGTCTTAAAGATGAGGAACTGAGGCCTAGATAACTCGTAGTAACTTGAAGTCACATTAGGCAGTATTTTAGAGCAATGTGCTTTCAAGGTGCTGTTCTTTTTCTGCTCCCCTCCCTTTAGTCTTTTTGGTCTCTGGGTGATGTGTTCCTAGGCCACCATCTCTAAAATACTGGATTTCCTACCATCCTCACTGAGGAAGGTGCAGAGGACAGGGACCAACCATTCACTTCTCAATCCTGGGTAAGCTTACCCAGTGACTTGTGTCTAACAGACACTCAGTATATCTTTTCTTTGTGAATAACTAGATTACTGAAAAAAAAAAAAAAAAAAAAAAAAAAACACTCTTTGAAGGACTCTTCAGAGATCATTTTGCACATCTGATAATCTGCCTCTAGTTTTATTGTTTTGTGAATCTGGGGTTTTTGTAGATAGATTTTGTCCTTTATTCTCAATTGACACCATACACATCTTTGTTCTGTGGATTGATTAGAACATTACTGAAGCTAATTCAAAAATTGAGGAACTTAGCATTCTCATCAAAAAACTATTTAGATCAGAGTACGTGCTTTAGTTGATACCATTTCCAAAGAAACCCTCGATGGGATCCTCAGCGATTCCTCCCTCCCCTCCCACCCCATTAGTTAATTTGGATCCCTGTTTATTTCACATTCACTTGCCAAATTTTAACGGGAAATAAACAGTCTAGGGTATGTTTTCTGGATGCTTGGGCAATTCTTAGTCTGGTTCTGCATTTTCCCTGTCCTTTCTCCTCTCCCACTTCTTTTAAAGCCAACTGGGGAGACTGGTTTAGTGGGGTTGGAGAGCCAGAGGCTTGGCCAGGGTGGTGTGAACCTAGTGCCCTCTGGTGGAATTCTGTGAGAATGACAGACTTCTCCCCAAGTGTTTTGAGTTTTTTCTTGAGTACCTTTAGGGGGAGGACCTTTCTGTTACATCGTAACAATAGTAAGTTAATAACAGGCAGGCTTATTGCCTACACTAAATATTTGAGGGGGGTATCACTTGATGTTGGGGAGTATCACTTGATTACCAGAGGTTTGTTGTTATGGAATTAGGCCTCATGACAGGAAACAGGCAGCTAAGTGTTTGTGCGTTTTCATCATCTCCTGTTAGTGTGTAAGAGAGGTAAAGAGAAAAGGAAGGCTCCCGGAGAAAGGTAATTGAAAAGAGTGTAGGAACCAAGAGTAAAGGGGAAATGGCAAACGTTAGAAGCCTTGGTCACAAACAGGTCTTATCCCCAGCCCTCACTTTGCATCTGAGCCCAAAAATATAACACCCAGCCAGAAGTTGGGAGTCTGCCAGATTCTCACCCCCCAGGGGAGATTGAGGGTCTCACTGGGAACAGAAAGTGTTATATAAACACACTCCTAAGGGAGGTCTAGGCTGTTTACACTGTGCTGTTTGCTTTACGTGAGCTTTCTGGCTGGCTGGCTTACTTTCTCTCTCTCTCTCTCTCTCTCTCTCTCTCTCTCTCTCTCTCTCTCTCTCTCTCGACATAGTCTTGCTCTGTTATGCAGACTATAGTGCAGTGGTACAATCTCAGCTCACTGCAACCTCTACCTCCCAGGTTCAAGTGATTCTCCTGCCTCAGCCTCCTAAGTACCTGAAATTACAGGTGTATGCTACCACGCCTGGCTAATTTTTGTGTTTTTGGTAGAGACAGAGTTTTACCATGTTGGTGAAGCTGGTCTCGAACGCCCGACCTCAAGGGATCCGTCCACCTTGGCCTCGAAAAGTGCTGGGATTATAGCTGTAAGCCACAGAGCCCAGCCATCTTTCTTTCTTCTTTATTTCACAATTTTATTTATTTCATTTTGAGATAACTCCCTTTTCCATTGCCATTAGCAAAGTCATTGTCCCAGAGGTCACAGTCACGCTTGCATCAGACACACCTGCATTTACGTTCCTGTCTTGCCTCATACCAGCTGTGGGACTTGGGCAAGCCATCCTGCTGGAGTCTCAGTTTTCTGGAGATTCCTTATAGAAACATTTGTGAGGATTACAAAACAATAACAGAGTCAACTACACGAACAAGTTACTGGATTTTATTATCCCCCAAAACAAGGAAGAGAGTGGGTCCATTACTAAGGTAATGACTCAAGGTTCAGGACTGTTGTCACCCAGACAGTTTCACAAAACCCCCTCCCTCTCCACAGCACATTTAGAAGAAACAGGATTGGGAAGACTCTGGAAGCAAAGAAGCCTTTATTGAACATCAACCGTGATCCATAGCTGGGGTATACATAGGAAATTTTGTAACTTGGATAAGGCAAAGTCTTTTCCCTTTAGAAGCCTGTACTTTAGTGCATGAAGAAAACTTCCTGAAGGAAGGTGATTTCAGGTAGTATAAAAGAAAGTGTGTCACCCGTGTGAGCACAATAATGGGGCAGATTAAATGTAAGTGCCTAAGCGTTCCAAAACAAGGGAATCAATAAGAGTTCTTGGAGAAGGCTGACTTGGGGATACTCGATGTGGTGGGAGGTGGATGTAGGTTTATTCCCAGTGCCAGCCACTGGGAATCTAAGAACATGGTAAATATGTGACTGCAGGATGACTGGCTGTGATTTGCAAAGAAAAGAAATTAGCAGACTCAAGAATTGCATGTGCAAGGTGGTCATGGTGAAACAGGAAAGTTTGGGCTGGAGTGAGAGTGATAATATGAGAAGTCAGGAAAGCACCAAGCATTTGAATTCTATAAAAATTTGAACTATGGAAATTTGAAATGTTATTAAGTTATTTTAAAAGTCTCACTTTATATGTAAAATTTGAAATGAAGCCAATTCTTGAAAGCTAGGGGGAGAGGAGGAGGCAAAACGAGCATAATTTCAGCCTGTATGAATTAATTATAAATTCTGGCATGCCACCTCCACACAGTGGCACCACGTTGGTGAACACAGCAAGTACCCACTTTTCTTTATCAAGATGGGACTTGAATAGTTCCAGTTCTGAGCTGTGAGAAGTCTTCATTCCTTCAGGTAAGAGGCAATCCCTCGTGGCTGATGAAGCCACTAGTGACAGCATAACTGCCAGACCCTGTTCTCCTCCCTCCACAGCCCTTCCTTCCTTTTGTTGAGGTCTCTTCCCCAGCGGCTTTTCTTGCTCACTAATTTGTTCTCCTGGTCCTTTTTCCTCCCTCCCCCAAATCTCATTATCGTCTCTCTCAATCCCTCCCTCAGTATCTTCTCAGTAATTACAGTCTCAGGGATAGAAAATGCACTAGCACGGACATGGTGGCGGACACCTGTAATCTCAGCTATTCGGGAGGCTGAAGCAGAAAATCGCTTGAACCCAGGAGGCGGAGGTTGCAGTGAGCCGAGACTGTGCCATTGCACTCCACCTTGGGCAACAGAGCAAGACTCTGTCTCAAAAATAAAAAGAAAAGAAAAGAAAAGAAAATGCATCAGCAGATGGGACCGACTGCTAGCCTTCAAGGCCGTTACCTTCACCAAGGAGGGTGCCATGCTCGTGGCTGAGGAGCCCACAGGAGGAAGGCGAGGTGGATGATGTGCCAGCCACTGTAGGCCCTGTCTCGGGGGAGCTCTTTGAAAAAAGGAGGACCTGGTCCTCTTTCTCTGACTGCTCCACTTCCTGCAGCAACTTGTAGAGGGGTCCTGGAGGGCTTGCGTAATACGGAGCTTCCTTGGGCCCCGTCAGCTTTAAGCTGGGAGTGTAACAACGATGCCAAAAGGAAGAGAAGCCATAGATTCCCAACAGGCACAAGGCATCGATCATCACATGCCAGCAGAAGAAGGTGGTGACAAACATGATGTCACTGATGTCGTCGTCCTGCCATGGGTAGCCAGAGACAGGTCTGTATAGAATAAAGCCCGCCTGTATCAGCCAGGAGCCCATCATCAGGATCAGAAAGGTCTCCATCAGCTGGAGATGAGGCATGTTGGGAGCCCACAGCTCTGCAGTGAACACCAGCAACAGCAGGAACACCACCAGGATGAGCAGAGAGTGCACGTGCAGCTCCACCCCTTCCGATTCTTTAACATGTGACACCATCAGCAGCAGGAGCTCATAGATAATCAGGACCAGGGTACCTTTTTCTAGGCCCACACACCTCTGAGGCAGCACGTTCTTGCTCACAAAGTCCACACAGCCATTGAGAGTGAGGAGGATGAACATGGTGAGGTGCTGCCACTCTTTGGGGTACATGAACGTTGGTGGCAGTTCCCTGTTCATCAATATCAGCCCTCCTTTAACGCAGCTGACCTCATAAACTGTCAAGAGGCAGCCAGTCACCATCTTCAACAGACCTCCATAGGATATTTTCCATAGCCTGGCACATCTTCCCTTACTCCTGGGAGGAGATGGATACAGGAGAGAGTCACTGAATATTACAGCTTTGGAGATTACTACTGCCTGATACAGTCCATGTAAGAACAGAAACAGCCCTGGATACACATGACCAATAAAGGTTCCCATGGAACCTTCAATCTGTCCACCGAAGGAGAGACGTGCAAAACTCATGTACAGCCTCACTTTATGCAGCCACTTCAGGTTCTGGGCTTTGGAAAGACCTGCCTTCCACCTATTTTATCATCTCACCACACCCACCACTTCCCCACAGAGAGGAAATGTGTCTCAAGACAAGCCTACACATTCGGTGGAATATGGCCTATTGTTCCATTCCATTCTGGTACATTGGGAACGAACTCAACTTACACTCTGAAGGCGAAGCTGGTGAATGGGCTTTCAGGGGACCCTTTTACAGCCCTTGAGGTGGTTCTGGGTATAGCAGTCCCTGTATTCCATGGCTTCCTTTCTCCTGTCCTGCCCAGAGCTCAGAGGCGGAAAGGAGAGGAAAATGGAGTGGGTTGCCATGATGGTGCCCAGCAAAAGCCTGGACACTCATTCACTCTTGGTTGTGCTTCAGCATTCTCACACATCATTTTGGTCCAGTTGTGAGGTCAGACATTTTCTTTATGGATACATACTTTTGAACATTTGGATATATCATATATTTAGCACCTATCTGGCTTTTCTACTTATCTGTGATAGACCCATCTTGAAGACCTCCAAGAAAGCCCCCTTCAGCATCTCCCCATTACCCGCTTGCATTCCCCCAACCACCACCACTTCAAAATGTCTACTGGCCAGGAGATGACTCTGAAAAGCCACCCACCCTGGGTATTGATTTTAGAGGATGTGGTGATTTTGTAGTAGTGTCCACATAGCTAAGCTTCAACCACGTTTCCCAGAATTTCCTTCCCAATGTGGTTCCAAAGTAGGTTTGGCTACTGGTGGAATTTACATGAGAATCTGAAGGCAGAAGTGGAGCAGCAACCTAAGAATACTCTGAAGGAGTAGGGTGCCAGGTACCGTGGTAGCTCATGCATGTGTCACTGATCTGCGGGCTTCCCTCCTAGATGAGCAACAGCCAGGCCTAGAGCTACTCCGAGGTGTGAAGGGTGCCAGTTGCTTCTGCAGGTTGCCTGCCATTGAGGTATGAGACAGGGAGAGGAAGACACGGGCTCCAGTTTGTCCTGGTAGGTTTTGGCTTTGATTTCTCTTTGCTCTTTCCTTCTTCATAGAACATGGTTCTTGCTGACTGCTGCCACCTCAACCTGAAATGACTTCAGGTCTCTGATACAGCAGTGAGGCAACAGCTTTCCATAGATGTTGTCACCAGATCCCACAAATGTGTAAGGTCTGGTTTCTATCAGCCATCCATATCCCATAGCTCTGCTTCTACCAGCCATCCCTATCTGATACAAAAAGGGAAGAATCCTGAAAATGGAGATTCATTGAGAGGAATCAGCCCAGTGAGCTGGTATTGGCCACTGATATTTTAATGTGAAATAGTCACCAGCTTCCTTTCTCTGTGATTGCTTGACGAGTGTCTAATGCACCTAGGAAGACAGAGTTCTAGGTATTGGGTAACAGCCCTCTGAGCCTGAGAAAGGGAGATTTAAAGGGAAAATCTGAGAGTGATTCTTTTGAAGTGAATCTCAAAGAAGAGAACGCCAGGGACTCTCCTTGGTTCTTGGGTTTGTCCTGGGAGAAGCAGGCAGTCTGTTGCTCCTCCAGGAGCCCTGGTGTTCAGGCCTCAAGCGTAATTGCATTTGGTCACTCTTTTTTGGTGTTTGGGGGCAGTATTGGCATCTGTCACAATGATCACTCAATATTGCTTCTTGAACCTCAGCTCCGTGGTCCACACGAGGCAGGAGTAGCAGAGCTTATTCCGGCTCCCACACTCATTTGCACAGCTGCTCCTGGCAGCTGCAAACTGGGCATGAATGGTCGGAAGAGGAGGGACAACAGCAGCACTGACTCAACCGCAATGGGAGGTTGGAAGTGGGATGAATGCAGGGCATGTAGCCCCACGTACAGTATGTCTGGGATGTTTAGTCCTCCACCTTGGCCAGACATCAAGGCTGCCTATAGTTCATTAAAACATGAACATCCTGATCCCAGGACTTTGAAGATAGGAATTGGCCATTCCAAACCAGACACTGCCCACAAGCAGCTGAGCAAGTACCCACAGGTGGTGAATGATTAGCAGAACTGCCAGACAGCTCCAGAGTCTGTGGCTACGAAGCACCTGGAAAGCTGTTTCATGGGTGTGATACTATGATTATATACAAGTTGGTTTTTGTCCATGGTTCCTAGCTCATATCTCCCTTAACCCTTGTTGCGGTCTTTTGTCATAATGCTGGGGACACTTCAGGCATCAGAAGCAGACCTCAGGAAACAGAAAAATCTCCCTCTAACCTTCCCCTCCCCTTCTTTCACTTGCCCAAGGCAGGACTCTAATCTTGTTGCAGGTCATAAGACCTTCATTCCACAGAGGGTCCTCCCCCTACTGTGAAGGATGGAATGCTGCATGGAGAGACCAGAAGAATCTGAACAGACAGGGCTTGCTGGGTTTCGATCATAACTTTTTTGTCCAATCACAATTTGACATGACATGCATCATTCATGGACAGTGAATGAAGTCTCCTTAATAGGCCCAAAGGGTTGGGCGCGGTGGCTCACACCTGTAATCCCAGCACTTTGGGATGCTGAGGCAGGCGGATCACTTGAGGTCAGAAATGACCTCAGCCTGGCCAACATGGTGAAACCCCATCTCTACTAAAAATACAAAAATTAGCCTGTTGTGGTGGTGCACGCCTATAATCCCCGATACTTGAGAAGCTAAGGCAGGGGAATCTCTTGAACCCAGGAGGTGGAGGTTGCAGTGAGGAGAGATCGCACCACTGCACTCTAGCCTGGGCAACAGAGCAAGACTCTATCTCAAAAAAAAATGGCCCAAAGGCCAAAGAAGGGTTGGGAGAGCTTGTAGGTAGCTGAGCAGGTGGAGGTTCCTGGAGGGTGACACACGTATGGAGGGCATGAAAGCTCTGTGCCCTTCCCCCATACCCTACGCTACGCATCTCTTCATCTATATTCTTTGCAGTATGCTTTATAGTAACTTGGCAAGTGTGTTTCTTTAAGCTCTGTGAGCTACTCTTGCAAATTAATCAAATCCAAAGGGAGGGTTGTGAGAACCCAAACTTAAAGTTGGTCATCAGAAGTTCTGGAAGCCCGCACTTGCAACTGGTGTCCAGGGACAGTTTTGGGGATTCAGCCCTCATCCTGGGTGATCTGACACTATCTTCAGGTAGACAGTGTTGGAATTGAATTAACAACACCCTGCTGATGTCTGCCACTTGGTGTGTGTGAAGGAAAACTCCCCTGCATTTGCTTACAGAAGTCTTCTGTGTTGAATGCTGTGGTATGAGAGCAGAGGAAAATCAGTTTAAAAGTTTTTCCTAAACAGTGGGAAACTGAGTTTCCAAAACTCAGTTGACTGTGGGCGCCCAAGAGGTCCCTCCTGGTCCAGTTGCTTCTTGGTGAAACTCCCCCAAGACCTGCCTCCCCACCTGCCACCCCACATGCCCAAGGGACCCCAGGTACAACCACTGCCCCTGGTCTGGCATCATGAAATGCCAGAGTACTCAAAAGGTCCTCAGGAACCCAATAAACATGCATTTCCTAACTGCTGTGGGCCCTTCTGAGGGTGCAGCTTATAAAGGTGTATATATAAGACATAAGCTGAGGCTGCAGCTTATGAAGGAGTACATAAGATAAATTCTTTCCCTCTAAGAGCTTACTGTTTAGCTGAAGGCATAACACCACTACACACACACCAGGGAACAATTTAGACTACTTTTTAAACTACTTCTATTTTGTAGAAATCAAACATCACATGTAAATTTAAATTTTCCAACACCCACATTAAATAAGTAAAAAAAGGTGAAATTAATTTTAATGAGATTTGACCCAATATATCAAAAATACTATTTCAAAATATAATTAATATAAAAGTTATGAATCTCTCTTTTTTTTTTTTTTGAGATGGAGTCTTTTTCTGCCACCCAGGCTGAAGTGCAGTGGCATGATCTTGGCTCACTGCAACCTCCGCCTCCTAGGTTCAAGCAATTCTCATGCTTCATCCTCCAAAGCGCTGGGATTACAGGTCTGTGCCACTATGCCTGGGTAATTTTTGTGTTTTTAGTACAGATGGGGTTTCACCATGTTGGCCAGGCTGATCTTGAACTCCTGGCCTCCAGTGATTCACCCACATCAGCCTCCCAAAGCACTTGGATTACAGGCATGAGCCGCAAGTTTTGTTTTTAAGAGACAGGGTCTCACTCGTCACTCAAGCTGGAGTGCAGGGGTGCAAACACAGCTCTCTGAAGCCTCAAACTCCTGGGTTGAAGCTATTCTCAGGCCTCAGCCTCTTGTGTAGCTAGGATGACAGGTACATACCACCATACCCTACCAATTTTTAAATTTTTTTGCAGAGATAGGGTCTCCTTATGTTGCCCAGGCTGGTCTCAAACTCTTGGCCTCCATTGATCTGCCCATCTTAGCCTTCCAAAGTGCTGGGATTACAGGCATAAACCACCATGCCCAGCCTGAATGAAGCATTTTATATTTCTTATTTCATACAGAATCTTCAAACTCCAGTGTATACTTTATACTTACAGCCCATCTCAATTCAGACAAGCCATATTCCAAGTCCTCAATAGCCACATGTGATTAATGGCTACCATGTTGGATTGCACAGATATTGGACGGGATCGAATGACCTGTTGAAATATACATTTTAAAGTTTTAGTGAAAGAAGCAGTTCATTGAAGAGGTAGAAGTTTGATCAGAAATGGCAGTTCATTGAAGAGGTAGAAGTTTGATCAGAGCACCACACTATAAACTTCTTAATGACTGTGGGATTTTTCCCACAGACTACGGTGTTTTTCAAAGGCATATTTTGATTTAACTCTGTTTAGGAGGGCCATCATCTGCAAGGCCAAGTGCGCCTTAGGAAAAGAAGGTCAGAAGGCTGGAGGCTTGAGAGGTCCATACAGAGAGTGGGTTCAGAGAAATCAGAACAAGGTCAGAGAACAAGGTCATCTGCTTATGTTTCAAACTTTCATCTTATTTCAAGTAAGGGTTACTAAGCCTTGGGTTCATAAGGGCTTATAAGCCTTGGTTGTCACTGACTTACCAAAAGAAGGCTTATAAGAGCTGGAAAACTTTCTGCTGCCTGCACCTGGACCACTGGCCCAGGCACTCAGGTGGAGGCACAGTAAAAAAAATAAATCAGAAAAGAAAAAGAAAAGACAGAGAAAAAATAAAAGAAATGGAAGACAACATTCGAATATTTTAGTTCGAAAGTCACATCCTTGATTTCACCTGGACCACTAGCTCACAATTTTTCTCTCTAAAATTGTGTATAAGGTGAGCTTTATACCTCCATCCCATAACCGTGACTTAGTTTTCACTATTTGTATAACTGGTTTCAGGTGCTTTTCAACTAGCACATTTCAATAACTGCAAACATTTTTTCTTATGGAAATGTTTGCAAAGTGGAAGCACTTACCCTACCACTGTTATTTCTTCTTCTTCTTTTTCTTTTCTTTTTTTTTTTGAGATGGAGTCTCACTCTGTTGCCCAGGCTGGAGTGCAGTGGTGCATTTTCAGCTCACTGCAACATTTGCCTCCCAGATTCAAGCAATTTTTCTGCCTCAGGTTCCTGAGTAACTGGCACTAGAGGCATGTGCCACCATACCAGCTAATTTTTGTGTTTTCAGTAAAGACGGGGTTTCACCATGTTGGCCAGGCTGGTCTTGAATGCCTGACCTCAAGTGATTCGCAACCCCTTGGCCTCCCAAAGTGCTGGGTTTACAGGTGAGCCACCACACCCAGCCTCTACCTCTGTTATTCCCTATATCTTCCCTTATGACCATGTTATGGACTCAACCCGTGGGTGACAACAGAACTCAAGCTCCCCGAATGTTTTTCCAAGATCATTTCTCTTCCAAACCATAATATGCATCTTCAAGTTAGGGGTTAAACTTTGCTTCCTTTTGTTCAAGATTATTCATTCTGCAGTTTGGGAATCCCTCTAAACTTCAAATTTCATCTGGGAAATACACCTATGTGACCATCAAGAAGTCTCACTCCTGCCCGACAGGTAGAGCTGTGGAAGGGGACTGCCTAGGCAGGGACTACATTTCCCAGCCTCTCAGAGACTGAGCTTGAGCCAGTGTGTAGAAGTGCTGCATTCCACTTCAAGGGAGGCTCTGCACAAGGGCAAAGACAGAGGATGGGTGGAGTCTGGCTTCTGAAAGACTATTCCTGCCGACCAGGAATGCTGGCATTCAACTTTATGTATAGGGATTAATAACCTTCTATGGTGTTAAGCCAATAAGATTGAAGGGTTTATGTCTTTAAATCAGTTAGTTAATACATGCTGTCTACCATTTCCTGAGAGGACCACAGGAAGCTCATGTAACCGAAACTCCTGGCCATCAATTATGACCAGCTGCCTGATGAGTTAAGCTAATTATTCCCACCCAATCCTCTCCTCTGCTTTCACTATCTCAGTTCTACAATACTTATGAGCCCTAAGTCACCTGCTTTCTGGGGTCCAGGAACCTAAATTCACAAAGGCTTCCATATGATTATAGACCCAGAGCACAAGAAGTAAATGGCTGTGAAGCAACCGCTTCTCAACAGTATCTACTTCACTTTATTATTTTAATTTTATATTGGGGGTACTGGTTTGTTACGTTGGACGTCGGTATAACATGCATCTGGTGGGGGTTGAGCTCCTAATGTACCCATCACCTCATATTGGACATTGTACCCAGTAGGTAATTTTTCAATGCTGTCTCCCTCCCTCCCATCTCTTGGAGTGCTCAGAGTCCATTTTCTCTATCTTTATGTCCATGAGTATCATTTGTTTAATAACAATAGTATACATGGACATAAAGATGGAGAAAGCTCCCACTTGTAATTGAGAACATCCAATATTTTATTTTCTGCTTCTGTGTCAGTTTACTTAGGATAATGGCCTCCAACTCCATCTATGTTGCTGCAAAGGACATGATTTTGCTCTTTTTTATGGCTGCGTAGTATCCCATGGTGTATATATACCACATTTTCCAATCAACTGTTGTGGACATTTAGGTTGAATCCGTGACTTTGCTTTTTTAAATACTGCTGCAATAAACATGTGAGTGTAGGTGTCTTTTTATATAATCATTTATTTTCCTTTGGGTAGATAGCCAGCAGTAGGATTGCTGTGTTGAATGATAGTTCTATTTTTAGTTCTTCGAAATATCTCCATAGTGTTTTCCATAGAAGTTGAACTAATTTACATTCCCACCAGCAGTGTACAAGTGTTTCCTTTTCTCCACATTCCTACCAATATCTGTTATTTTTTGGCCAGGTGAGGTGGCTCACACTTGTAAACCCAGCACTTTGGGAGGCCAAGGTGGAAGGATCGCTTAAGTGTAGGATTCAAGACTGGCTTTGGGCAACAAGGTGAGACCTCGCTTCTACAAAAAATTTAAAAATTACCTTGTGTGGTGATACCCACCTGTGGTCCCAGTTACTAAGGAGACTGAGGCAAGGAAAGCCACTTGAGCCCAGGATTTCTAGGCTACAGTAAGCTGTGTTCATATCCCTGTACTGCACCCTGGGTGACAAGGTCAGACACTGTCTCAATAATAATAATAATATAAATAAAATAAAATAAAACATCTGTGGGCTTTTTTTTGATATTTTAATGAAAGCCATTCTGACTGGTGAGAGTTGGTATCTCAGTGAGGTTTTAATGTGCATTTCTCTGATGATTATTGATGCTAATCATTTTTTCAGGTGCTTGTTGGCCACTTGTATTTCTTCTTTTGAGAAATGTCTGTTAATGTCCTTGGCCTAGTTTTTAATGGGATTGTTTATTTTTTTTCTTCTTGAATTTAGTTTCCTGTAGATTCTAGATATTAATCCTTTGTTGGAGGCAAAATTTGTAAATCTTTTCTCCCATTATGTAGGTTGTCTGTCTACCTTGTTGATGATTTATTTTGCTGTGCAAAAGCATCTTCGTTTAAGTCCCATTTGTCTATTTATGTTTTTGTCGCATTTGCTTTTGGAGTCTTTATCATAAATTCTTTGGCTAAGCTGATGTCCAAAGTAATTTTTCTTAGGTTTCCTTCTGAGTTTTTTTAATATATGTATATAGTTTCAGGCCTTACATTTATGTCTTTAATCCATTTCCTTTTAAATTTTGTATATAGTGAGTGATAGGGGTCCAGTTTCATTCTTCTGCATATAGCTAGCCAGTTTACCCAGCACCATTTATTGAATAGGGTCTCTCTCTCTCCTGCATTCTTTGTTTTTCTCCACTTTATTGAAAATCAATTGGTTGTTGGTATGTGGCTTTATTTCTGTACCATGATCTATTTTTGTACCAATACCTTGTACATTTCTGTACCATGATCTGGCTTTATTTCTGTACCATGATCTGTACCATGATCTATTTTTGTACCAATACCTTGCTGTTTTAGTTACTTTACTTTGCAGTATAATTGCTTTTCTAATTCTGTGAAATTTGGTAATTTGATAAGAATTTCCCTGAATCTATAGATTGCTTTCAGTAATATGGTCTTTTTAACCATATTGATTCTTCCAGTACATGAGTATGGGAAGTTTCTCTATTTATTTGTGTCTTCTACCATTTATTTTGTCAGCATTTTGTAGTTTTCTTTGTGGAGATCTTTCACCTCCTTTGTCAAATGTATTCCTAGTTTTTATTTTTTTTGTGTGGCTATAGCAAATGAAAGGAATTTTTTTTTTTGAGACAGAGCCTTGCTCTGTCTGTCACCCCGGCTGGAGTGCAGCAGCCTGTCCCTCGGCTCACCGCAACCTCCACCTCCTGAGTTCAAGCACTTCTTCTGCCTCAGCCTCCCAAGTTGCTGGGCTTCTAGCTGCCCACCACCACTCCAGGCTAATTGTTTTATATTTTCAGTGGAGACGGGGTTTTACCACGTTGGCCAGGCTGGTTTCCAACTCCTGACCCAAGTGATCCACTTGCCTCAGCCTCTCAAAGTGCTGGGATTACAGGCATGAGCCACCATGCCCGGCTGGAATTTAATTCTTTATTTGTTTCCCAGCTTAAACATTTTAAAGGTATAGAAATGCTACCGATTTTTGTGCATTGATTTTGTATCTTGACACTACTGAGGTTATTAATCAGGTCTAGGAGTCTTTAGGGTTTTCTGTGTATACAGTGAACAGATAACTTGACTTTCTCTTTTATTTCTTTCTCTTGCCCGATAGCTCTGGCTAGGACTTCCAGTACTTGGTTGAACAGTAGAGGTAAGAGTGGACAGCCTTTTCTTATTCCAGTTCCTAGGGGAAATGCTTTTAACTTCTCCCCATTTGTTATGATATTCGCTGTGGGTTTGTCGTAACTAGCTCTTAATGTTTTTACATATGTTCTGTTCATGCTTAGTTTTTGTCTGTTTGTTTTTGTTTTGAGTCAGAGTTTCACTCTGTTGCCTAGGCTGGAGTGCAATGGTGCAATCTTGCATCACTGCAACCGCTGCCTCCCAAGTTCAAGTGAGTCTCCTGCCTTAGCCTACTGAGTTGCTGGAATTACAGCTGTGTGCCACCACACCTGGCTAATTTTTGTAATAGAGATGGGGTTTCACCATGTTGACTAGGCTGGTCTTGAACTCTCAACCTCAGGTGATCCACCCACCTCAGCCTCCAAAGTGCTGGGATTACAGCCATGCGCCACAGTGCCCAGGCAGTTTTTTTTTTTTTTTTTAGGGTGTTTATCATGAATGGATGTTGGATTTTATCAAATGTTTTTTCTGCATCTATTGAGATAATCATATGATTTTTGTTCTTAGTTCTGTTTATGTGGTGGATCACATTTATTGATTTCTGTATGTTAAACCATCCTTGCATCCCTGGAATAAAGCCCAATTTATCATAGTAAATTAACTTTTCCATATGTTGCTGCATCTCGTTTGCTAGCATTTTGTTGAGAACTTTTGCGTCTGTGTTCATCAGGTATATTAGCCTGTAATTTTCTTTTTGTTTTTGTTGTATCCTCGCCTGGTTTTGGTATTAAGGTAATACTGGATTTGTAGAATGAGTTAGGAAGGGATCCCTCCTCCTGGGTTTTTTGGAATCGTTTTGGTAAGAATGGTTCTGGCTCTTCTTTGTACGCCTTCTTCATTTTGGATACAATCTTTCAGTTACAGGGCCACAGGTCTCAGCACTATATAGTGTTTTCTACTGCTGAGGGCTCTAGATAAACCTTTACTAAAGTTTAACCCACCTTCATTAGTTTCCTATTTCTTTGTAACAAATTAACACAAATTTAGTAGCATACAGAATGAAAACTTCCCATTTCACAGTTTCCGTGGGTCAGGAATCCAGTTAACTGAGTCTTCTGCTCTAGACGTTGCTCTCAGTGCTTGGCACGTAGCTTTCATAGATAAATCACATGACTATGAGTTTTCTTCCAGGCCAGCAGGAGTGAATCCTTGATGATTCACCTTCTTCTGATAGGCTCATCTGACTAGCTCAGGCCTACCCAGGACAGTCTTCCTCTTGATTAATTCAAAGTCAACTGATTAGTAACTAAGCAAAGAATTGGTATTTCCTTATATTAACTGTCCAAGCAACACTCAAGGGTAGAGGATTCACCTGGATGTGTATACCAAAGGCAGGAATCTTGGGAACATCTTAGAATTCTACTTCCCACACCATCTAATTATCCTTTTCATCCATTACCATAGTTGCAATATAATTATGTACTTTGTTATGTGTTTTTCTCATTATTTTATTGTCAAACCTTGCATAGTTCCTTGAAAATAGTAGCTCTTTAGAATTCCTAAACATATTAATTAATCCCTTGGTCATTTTGATTGGAGGTGAAAAATTTTCTTCATCTATTGATCACATGCTTAAAAATAAGTGTCCTTCATTGGATCTTCACTTTCGTGAAATTTACCAGTGAACGTTTTCTTTCTTCACCCTTCCCAACATCTGAAGGTGAATTCTTTCTAATGTTCTGGCCTGCAGTGTAATTCCTCCACTGGTCTTTTAGGTAGGTTTCAATGAGAAATAGATGGAAACCCAAGTTGGGATAGTTTAAAGAGGGTTTAATAAAGGTTCTTCTGGGCCAGGCACAGTGGCTCCTGCCTGCCAATCCCAACACTTTATGCGGCTGAGGCAGGTATATCATCTGAGGTTAGGAGTTCAAGAGCAGCCTGGCCAACATGATGAAACCCCATCTCTATTAAAAATACAAAAAATTAGCTGGGTGTGTTGGCAGGAACCTGTAATCCCAGCTACTCAGGAGGCTGAGGCAGGAGAATTGCTTGAACCTGGGGGATGGAGGTTGCAGTAAGCCAAGTTGGCACCATTGCACTCCAGCCTGGGTGACAGAGCAAGACTCTGTCTCAAAAAATAAATAATAAATAAATAAATGTACTTTTCTTTGTACAGATATGGACCGAGTATAAGGAGCCCATAAGGGACACTTGAGTAATTGTCAGAGCTGTTAACTGCCTCTAGGCCCCAAAGGGAGGTGGGACATGAGACATGATACTTTTTTATATGAAAGGATAATGAGTTGAATGGTGGCACCCAAAAGGATAGGTCCAAGTCCTAACCCCTAGAACCTTTGGATGTGATCCTACTTGGAAAAGAGTATTTGCAGATATAATTTAAGTTAAGGACCTCCAGATGAGCTTACCTCGGATTTGGGGTGAGCCTTAAAGGCAGTGGCAGGCGTCCTTATAAGAGAAAAGCAGAAGCAGATTAAACGTACAAAGATACAGGAGAAGACAGTGTGAAGATGGAGGCGTACATGGGAGTGATGCAGGCATAAGCCAAGGAGTGCCGAAGGTTACCAGCAGTCAGAGGAAGCTAGGAGAGAGCTGCGCAGCGTATTCTACAGCAGAGCGTCTGTGAGGAACAAACCTGTCTACACCTTCAAACAAAGGTGTTGTTTTTATAAATAAAAAGCCGGTTATCCTCACATTGATTGAAGAAACCATATATAATATGTATTTAATTCTCACATTCCATATTTCTGTTCTTAGAGCCTCTATTAAGCTATACTATTTTGATTCATGAACCTGTGGCACTTGCTTTCTCCTATACCACACTATTTTAATTTTTGAATTAATTTCATAATGGACAATATTCATCTTCATTTTTTTTCTTCTGGGGAAGAAAGGACCCCACTGTTCTCAGTGTTTCTTTCTCGGATATTCTTTATAATGGGTTTGCTGAATTTTGTTAAAAATAATTTGGGGATTTTTTTTTGGAGGGGAGCACATTTAATTTGAATATGTTTCTGCAAATGCAGGTATATCAGCTGCAAGACATATTTTATGAGATGTTGGGAGAAATTCAGTAATTATCAGAGATTTCCTTAGCAGTTTAGAACTAAGATAGGAATGACTTGATAAGACCAATAAGGAATTACTTACCATGAGTGTATTCAAGAATGGCAATAAAAAAGTGAGAGCCCAGATGATAAATAAGGGGAAAGAGCCCAGTAATTAGACATAACCCAAGAAACAAGGAGAATTAGATGCATCTTGTCTCAGGCCCCTGGAGTTTTGGGCTGTGTAGAGAGAGCTAAGTTCTACCTCTTTTTATCATCTCCTTCTGCCCACTGCTCCCACAGGATGGAAAATTCTGGATAGGAGCCTAGGTTTTTAGTGAGGTAGGTCTCATTGCTGCATTTCATTCTAGTACACTGGTAACTAATTGAGTTCTGCCAAAGTAGAAAAATAAATATTTTTTAGGATGCACCTGTGGGAATTTCTGGTCTCAGAAGCTCTGCCTTGGGGCCCTTGAGGACCTTCTGGTCATGCTTGTCCCTCTCTCTCATGGCTTGCTTCCTTCTGCCCCTGTTCAATGCTCAGAATAGGAGGAGAGAGGTACCTGAGCACAGAGATTATCCAGAGAAGGCCTAGGTTACTCACAAACCCTCATGCATCCTTTAAGACTCCTTACTCGGCCGGGCGCAGTGGCTCAAGCCTGTAATCCCAGCACTTTGGGAGGCCAGGGCAGGCAGATCTTGAGGTCAGGATTTTGAGACCAGCCTAGCCAACGTGGTGAAACCCCATCTCTATTAAAAACACTAAAACTAGCTGGGCATGGTCGCAAGTTCCTGTAATCCCAGCTACTTGGGAGGCTGTGGCAGGAGAATCATTTGAACTGGAAATATACCCTGTTTAACTCCTGACAACTGGAACAGGGGTGTCCACAGTCAGAGGAGGCAGAGGGCAGAAGTGTGTACTAGAACACCAGATGTTTGAGGCTTAAAATGATGTGGATGCAGAACAAATAGCCCCAAATAAACTTCTGTCTGTGGTGTCCAGTCCCCCTCCTTGGCCAGGCATCAAGGCTATGTGTTGTTCATTTAACCATGAACATCCTAATCTCAGGACTTTGAAGATAGTAATCACCCATCTCAAACCAGACACTGCCCACAGTAGCTGAGAAAGAAGCCAAAGGTGGTGAATGATTAGCAGAACTGCCAGACAGCTCCAGAGTCTGAACACAGAGTACCAGGAAATCTGTTTTGTTGGGGAAACTCAGACTGACCAAAAGAGCTGAGGAGGTCCTTTGTGGCCTGTTTACTCCATAGTGAGATTCCCCCTATGCCTCTCTCCCCAAAGCACCATTCCCTAGTCCCAAGGGGCCCCAAGGGGCCCCAAGCACAGCCTTTACCACTGTGTCTAGCATCATGAAATGCTCCAGTGAGCAAGAAGGTCCTCAGGAATCCAGTAAAGATGAATTTACTAATTGTGATGACATAATCTTGTCCTCGCAGAGATTACAATATCACTAAAAGTATAGTACACATACACACTAAATATACAAACCTATATGAAAGAATTATTTAGAATTAGAGAGTGTCATGCTGAGTGATGTGTAGAATGCATCTTAGAGGATTTTAATAACAATATTTTTTTGTGGGGAAGGTACAAGGAATCATCTCTGGACATGTCATAGAAAACTTCCCATTACTGGGGATGGAGGCAGCAGACCACCATGGCATGTGAATACCTATGTAACAATCCTGCACAAACTGCACATGTACCCCACAACTTAAACTATAATAAAAAAAGAGAAACTACCCATTACTATGTTTTACTGTAAGATTCTTTCAAAATCACCTTTTTAATTTGTCCCACTTTGGTTGCTTAAGTTTTCCTCACTGTATTTGTCATCATTAATGTTTATAATTCATTTTGTCTCATTAGGAAACAGCTCCAGGAGATGGAAAACCAGCTGCCTTCATCAGAAACTCACAGGTGGCATTTCTATGGGGAGTCAACACAAGGTCAGAGTCCAGGCCTCATCTGTGCAGACGTTTTTCTTAATAGTTCAAACATGGGTGAGCTACTGTAATAGCATAAACAGAGAAGTGTTTGTTTGCTGCTCTAGAATTACCCTCCACGCTTACCCACCCTCTATGCCTCCGGAGGCTGCTCTTTACGGATGGCAGTGACAACCTTCTTCACACTCTGGTTTCTTGTCAGGTTTGTTAAAGGAAGGCACAGGAAGAAAGAAGGAGGGTGGTGAGCAGGAGGAAGGTGGGTATGACGTAGCCGTTCCCAGGTAGCCTCTCTGCTGAGTGCAGAGGCTGTTGGCATCACCTACAGAGGGCCCCAGCTCCAGCAGGAGGCCAGCTCCAATAGCTAGAGCTAACCCTCAGGTCTGGTCAGCAGCTTCCCTGTGCGTAGGTGTGGTTAATGGCTCTTCACTGTTGCTAACCCTTGGGTATGTTAGCGTCCCTGCCAAGATTGTTTTAAATGGCTCCTTTAGTTAACACTTAACAGTTTTATCCCATTTGAGTGTGCAATTCTGGATCAATGATTGATAGAGTAACAGATGTCCAGGGTGGCCTCAAGAGTGGCCCTCAAGAGAGAATTCTGGGACGAGGTTGCTCTCACACTTGAAAAATACATAGATAACCTCCTTGCCAGGGAAAAGGAGGCATTTCATCTCTAAATTACAGAGGCATCACAATTACACCGTCATTGCATGGGCGGAAGTGCAAGTGAGGGCAGGGGGGTGGAAGAGGAAGTGGCTTTGAAAAATTGGTAAGATGGTGACAATAGTGATTACACAAATTTTGGGTCAGCTAACTCCTTTTGGCACCCTAGATACATGTGTCTGGTAGCCACTAACTACATGTGTCTATTTACATTAAAATTAAGATTATTGAAACGAAATAAAATGTAAAATTCAGTTCTTCAGTCACATGAGCCACATTTCAATTACTCAAAACCCGCGTGTGGCTAGTGACTGCTATATTCTAGGCCAGCACAGGTAGAGAACACTTTTATCACTGCCGAAAGTTGTATTGGACAGTGCTGTCCAAGAGAGCGTACAGAGGGAAAAGAAAAACTGAAGGCCTTAAGTACCCCATTCAGAAGATGGGTGGAAGATGAAACACTTTTATGCCAGCTTTGAAGGAATCCCTCATTTCTTCTGGTTGCAGGGCAGATATGGCAATGATAACATCAAGTGCTGTATTATGTGGCTTGTACAGTGGCAGAGCCAATTAAATGCTTGTCCATGCCAGTCTCTAAGACTAAGTTAAGTGCACTAGTGGGAGAAGGAATGACATCCTGAGATATGAGAGGGAGAAACAGGTGAGGCTAAAAACTTTGCTTTATGTTTTTTTGAGACAGGGTCTCACTCTGTCACCCAGGCTGGGGTACAGTGGCACAATCTCAGTTCACTGCAACCTCTACCGCCCAGGCTCAAGATATCCTCCTACCTCAGCCTCCTGAGTAGCTGGGACTACAGGCCAGCACCACCATGCTTAGCTAATTTTTGTATTTTTAGTAGAGATGGGGTTTCACTGTGTTGGCCAGTCTGGTCTTGAACTCCTGACTCAGGTGATCCACCCAAATCAGCCTCCAAAAATTCTGGGATTACAGGCGTGAGCCATCGTGCCTGGACAGGCTGAAAACTTTGAACTCCTTAATTCCCTATGACCTCTTTTTTTTTAACTGAGGAAATCCCCCTTCCCACCAGAAAGAGCACTTCCTCTGTATAAACACCTTTCAATGACTGAGCCTGGGAGAATGTCAGCCCCATGGGATACTGATCTCTATAGGATCCACTCCCACTTCTCTAATTACCTCCAGGACCACAAGAGTAAATCCCAAATAAGGATGTACAAGACCTGGTCTGAGGTAGGAGAGGAAACTGATACACTAAAATAATTATGAGATGTTATCAATCAGTTTTGGTCAGAGTTTGGGGAGCATGGATATGAATGAATCCTAAAGCTGTTTGACCATGCGAAGTAAAATTGAAGAGCTGACTGAACCACATTTATCAATATGAGTTTACTTCCCTGAGATTCTGAATTTGATGTGTTGGCTTGAGCACATAGAAGTAGTATGTACAGTTTGCTAGGTTGGCCCATTGAAACATGGACTCAGAGGTGGCCTGCAGTCAGTGGAATTGACATTTCGGAAGTTCCCGGTAAACCCTAGAGAAGCACTGCCAAACAGAACTTTCTATTTCTACAATGAATTCGTATGGTTTGTGCTGTCCAATGCAATAACTTCTAGCCCCCTGTGGCTATTGAGTACTTAAAATGTGGCCAGAACAGCTAAGACACTGAATTTTATTTTATTTTATTTTACTATAATTAATTTAAATTTAGCACATAGGGCTAGTGGCTACTACATTGGATAATGCCACTCTAGTTTAAGAATTCTGAAGGCTAAGGGGAATTGGTAATGTTAGGGGAACCTATAAGGGACAACTAGCTCAGCCACCCCTTAATCATAGTCCCTGGAGGGTTTAGAAGAGATTTCCTTTTTCTTCTAATTCTACTCTGTCTGCATTCTAGAGCTTCTGATATATGGAGTTAACATTCAATTCTTATTAGTTTTTTCATTTTAATTTTTACTTTTTCTTTAACACAAAAGTTACCTAGAAGAATGTCTTAATTTCCAAACAAATTGTTTTGTTTTCTTTTACCGTTCTTTCTATGTTGATGTTATTTCTGCTTTGGGCGGGGTGGTAGTGAGCAGGGGAACGTATTTTTTCCTTAATAAATGTTCCTTAAGCAGTATTCAAATTTTCAAAATAATTAATTCAAATCTTCAAAATTAATTTAAAAATAATTAATATTAATTTTATGTATGATAGCCTTATTTCTGAAATGAATATATTATTATATTCTTTGACCATGGCTCTGTATTATTTCTCTTTATTTCTATCAGCATTTATTTAATGCATATATTTATATACATATAAATAAAATGCCACATTGTCAATGCGTTAAGATTCATAACTTATATTTTATATTCAATTCTTGGTGAATTGAATACAATGGAAAGAAAATATCTTTGTCACTCTTAATTGTTAATGCTTCTCATCTCATTTTCTTTTGTCAGATATTAGCATTATAGCATGTGCTTTCTTTTATTATTTATCTAGTATATTTTAATGCCTATTTTTCAGCCTTTTTGTGCCCCTTTAGTTTAAGACTCTGTCTTTTAAATCCTAGTTTGACACTATAGTTAGGGCTATTCAGAAAATCTGTGTTACTTTGACAAGGAAACTTAAGATACTTAAATTTATTGTGATCATTAATGTATTTAGACTTACTGATATATTTTGGACCCCAGTTCTTCCTTTAAAAAGAATTCCATAGGAATGAGTAATTTACATTTACTAGAATTAAAATTTCTCCTAAAACAAAGATAAGTGTGTTAGAATTGAAGTCATCTCAGTTAGAGAAGCCTGAGATGTCCCTATGTTTTCAGCCTTCCTCACTCCTCCAGCTCCAGCTTTTTAAAACTTTGCAAACAACCCCATTGGATCATAAGAACCTTGACATACCATATAGGCATATAACAGGCACAGATATCCTTGGTTTCTCATGGCACCAATAGTTCATGTGAAGCCTCTACTCTTTTGTTCCTCAAATAAATGAATTATATATATGAGATTTAGTTAACATCAAGGCCTTACCTCACTGGCACCTCACACAGAGCAGGACTCCCAAATGCAGCAGTTATAGGCTAATGTCTTTTCTCCATGTTAAGAAAGACAAAAACATTTTGAGATACCCTAAGAAGCAACAGGGTAGCCAGGCGCAGTGGCTCATGCCTGTAATCCCAGCACTTTGGGAGGCCGAGGCGGGTGGATCACTTGAGGTCAGGAGTTCGAGACCAGCTGGCCAACATGGTGAAACCCACCCCATCTCTACTAAAAATACAAACATTAGCCAGGCATGGTGGTGGGCACCTGCCTGTAATCCCAGCTACTCAGGAGGCTGAGGCAGGAGAATTGCTTGAACCTGGGAGGCGGAGGTTGCAGTGAGCTAAGATCATACCACTGTGTGACAGACAGAGACACTCCATCTAAAAAAAAAAAAAAAGAAGCAGCAGCAGCAACAGGGTGAGGTGGTGGTTGCTGGTACGGACTCTAGGACTACTCTGCCGTGGTTGAAACCTCAACCTTTGCCACGTTTTCTGCCATTCAGTAGTTATAAGAGCTCAGTCCAATAGCTTAACCTCTCTCACTTCAGGGGATTACTGTTACTGTATAGATTAGAAGACATAATTTATGTAAAAATACTATCACAATCCTCATAAGAACTCAGAAAATGGTAGCTGATATTGATAATTGGTATCTTAGTCCATTCCCAGGACTGCAGACCAGACTTTTTACAGAAATTGTCTTTCTTTCTTCCTTCCTTCTTTCTCTTCTTTTCTCTTCTTCTCTTTTCTTTCTTTCTCTCTTCTTTCTCTCTTTCTTTCTTTGTTATCTTCAGGTTCTCACTCTGTGGCCTAGGCTGGAGTGCAGTGGAGTGATCTCGGCTCACTGCAACCTCTACCTCCTGGGTTCAACTGATTCTTCTGCCTCAGCCCCCCCAAATAGCTGGGACTACAAGCGTGTGCCACCACACCTGACTAATTTTTGTCTATGTACTAGAGATGGGGTTTCACCATGCTGTCCAGGTGGGTCTCGAACTCCTGACCTGAAGTGATCAGCCGGCCTTGGCCTCCCAAAGTGCTGGGATTACAGGTGTGAGCCGCTGTGCCCGGCCTGTTATTTCTGTGATACCTCAAGCAGCGGAACTGGGGAGCTCCTTTAATTTTTAAAATATTTCTATAAAGAGACATAATTGTGTTCCCTTGATATTCTCAGCCTCCCCCAGGCTGACTGAAGATATCAGTCCCTGAACAGAGAGCCTGAGGGTTAAACAGGTGCCACATTTGCTGGTCTCACACTCAGAACCTCTGCCCTATTTTTACCTGTTTCGTCTGCAGTTGCTGCATTAAGACCTGGCCTTAATGAAAT